GCAAAAAGGGGGCGTTACTTAAGGCACACACCTGATTGGATGATCGTTGCTTAGGCATTTCTTTATAACTAATATATTTAATATTTATAGCATCGAACTTTCATTTATTTATTTAGTTTCATGAAGTTGCTGTTGTTATCAAGGTCATCAGAAGAATAATAACAGACAGATAATGTTATCCAGTCGTTATTACATGTTTATATGAAACAACGACAGTGTCAGACTCGATGGCTTCATTTATTATTTCTCTTAACAAAGAACTCCTGGTTACATTTAAAAAAAGAGCAAAATCAGTCAGTAGCAGATTTTTTTTCATGCGATATGTAGAAATAGGGAGAACTGTTTGATTTTAATGATAAATTGCAATTTTATTTAAAAAATCTGTTTTGGCTGCTAAAATTAATGTGCAAGTAGTTAAAGTCAAATGTGAAAGAAAAACGAACAAGAAGAGCCGATCTTTTTGAAAAACAGAGCAAACACAACGAACCAATCAGTGTTTACGCTTGAGAAACACCTACTTTGAGTCTGCAGAGAACCCTTCCTGAACGTCTAAAATCCTCATTAACATCACGTTTTTTAATTTGTGCGACCCCAAACCAACTCCAAAGTGCCATCGTTTGTGTTTTCTGACTTTATTTTCTGTTTGACAAACAAGATTCAGCCCTAACCCGTCTTTTTATTCTTCTTATGAAAAAAAAGCCATAAGATTTATAACATTCACAGCCTTAAATTTTCATTTTTTATATTTAATTTTAATTTTTAGCACCTCTTCTAACCCATGAAGGTGATGTTCTGGTTTTGGGATAATGTGAGTGTGTTGTAAGTTTACTTGTTTTATAAAGATGTGTTTGAAGAAATGTTGATAAAAGGTTACATCATCATTTAGCACCTGACTGTAGAGTTTTTCATGTTGGGTAGAAGGAAGTAACGTGTTTGCATTTGAGCAAAAACCAGGTTTGAATCAGCTGATCTGTACTGGTCCAGTCTCTGTAAAGCTTTCTTTTCTGCGTCTGTTTAAAGCATCGACACACTTTAATAAGCTCAAAGCAACAACAGCATGTCTGCATTGCTTTAAACCATCATGTTCACCTTAAAAACACCAGAGAAAATAACGTAACCTTCGTTTTGTTCACTGCATTTAGAAACTTCTATTCTTTGAGAAACTGTTCTGTTGTTGAATAAATGCACAATCTGGTGTGTTGTTATTCCAGCTGTCAATAAAATAGATTAACTTCCTCGTTTGTTGTGATTACACTTCATTATCTGACAAAGTTTTATCACACTTTGACCTTTCAGGTGACGAGGTGGAACTGATTGTTGGAAAAGTTTCTCATTTCTTCCACCAATCAGATGTTTCTGAGTTAAATGTCAAATTTATTTATAAAGCGCTTTTAAAAACAGCTAAAAGCTGCACCAAAGTACAGCACAAATATCACAAAACCACAATCTTTGCTAAAAATACATAATAAATTACAACCAACAATAGTAAGAACAGGTAAATTACAGTGACAGGCCTTATTTTAAATAAACGCCACTGAGTAAGAGTCAGTCTTAAGAAGCACTTTGAAGTTTTCCACATGAGCAGATCTGATGGGAAAGTTGTTCCATAGATTGGGAGCAGATGATCACCTCTCATAAATCTGCATCTTGAAATATCTAGAATCATCTGGTTGTTTGACCTCAGTGTTCTAGATGAAGAATGAAAATATAAACATCTTGAAGATTGTTTGGAGCAAGGCCGTTCAAAACCTGAAAAACTAACAATAAAGTCTTAAAGGGGCAAGGTCATGTAAAATCAACTTTTTTGAGTTTTATATCATGTTATAATGTTATACTCACATTAAAAACATGCCCAAAGCCTTGCTCTGACTCATTCATCATGTTTGAGAAATCCTGCAGTGTTTTTATGAAGCCATACTGAGGAGCAAAACGACAGGTGGGGACCAGAAACACCTTTTAGGACCAGAAACGCCCCTGGGACGTGTCTTTAAGCTGAACTTCCTCATGGCAGAGCACACCCCCCCACACACACCCTGCCCATAACTCCTGCAGGCTCTCGGGTGAAAGTGAAAGTGAAACCTAACTGTCTGCTGAGCTCTCAACATTAGTTCTCACTCAGTGAAGCTCTTTTCAGATTAAAAAAACTTTTGTCCCCAAATGTACCAGTTGTCCCCAATGGTAGGGTTTTTGTCTTAAAATTGCCCCCAAATGTCACCAAAGCCGAACCCCCCCCCCCCCCACACACACACACACACACACACCCTCCGTCTGTCTCTGTGGCAGATGTTCGGACTCCCCGGTGAACAAACCGATCAGCTTGTATTAAGGTCTCTCTTTCTCTCTCGTCACGCACACACAGAGCAGGAGCGTGACAGGAAGCCAGGTTTCACACACACACAGACACACACACACACACACACACACACACACACACACACAAAGACATGACTTAAATGGACATGCGCAGCCTGGCAGACAGTCTGAGCAGCGTGACTTGCATGCACAAAGACAGAAAGGCAAATTCACGGTGTGAAATTGGACGGAGCAGCAGGAGGCCCTCTAATGGAGCAAAAGCAAATTGGGACATAAATCATTTCCTCCACAGGAGGAATTACATTTCCAAACAACACCTCATACACTCGCTTATATAGTAGTGACAGCGTGAAGGAAGGAGCGGCGCTTTGACTCCATCTGTCATCCGTGGCTGTTTTGACTCATGTTTTCATGGCTGAAGCAGCTGAATCTGACCACCGCCTGTAAAAAGACACATTTCTCTTTTCTCACTCGTTCCCGCCCTCCTCGTTCTTCTTTTTCTCCATTTTTCTCCTCTCTTGACCTTTTGTTGCTTCATCCTCTGTCAGCTGTCTGCAGCTCCATCTTTCTCTCCTCCTCCAGAGATCTTCACTTCCTGTAGCTGCTTCATTATTCTTACAGCTCTTCGGCACAAATACCAGCGAGTCCTCTTCTGTTTCCACTTCTGACTCTTCTGACTGACTCTGGACTCAGACACAGTTATCATGTTTTATGTGCTCAATAATTTGATGTTTTCATAATATTATTTTTACCTCTGAACCAGCTGTAGGTCAAATTTATCCTCTGTGGTGACATCTGGCATGGCTCCGCCCCCCTGCACACAATGCACTCAGATGTCCTCCATGAAGGACGTGCAGGAATTTACCTGTTTGAATGATTTTTTTTTCATCCTAAAGTAAAACATTTCTCGTTATCACAACAACATTTTTACATTGAAGAAGTTATATTTTTATATATTTTTTTTAATTCTTGTACATCTTCATTTATAAAACACTTCAACAACGGCACAATTTTTACTACAATGAAACAACAAGAGCAGCTAAAAGATAAAATCTATAAATCGACATACGTAAAAGAAATTAAATAAATGAGAAATTAAAAGCACAAAACAAAGTAAAATATATTATTTCACATTTTAGGCTTCATTTACGTCCACTCTGAACACAGCAAACTACAAAAATGTAATAATTTTTGTAACATCAGAACAAAATTCTGTTAAAAAACAATTTGCAGAAAGAAATAACTCAAAGAGTTCAGCACCTCTGTTGTTTCTCTGTAAATTTATTTAAAATTATTCTAACAGTAAATGTCCTAAATGCTAGAATAAAAGGTGAAATACCTATTTGTGTCTCCCCATCCCTGAGCATCTTTTTTAAACATGTATGATTAATGTCAAGTTTTCTAGTTTTGTGAATAAAACAAACTTCAGCGTGAGAGTTCACAGTGATAAAAGTTATCATTAAAGACATTAAAGGACCTTAACAGCCTGTTTTTTAAGACATAAACTTAATTAAAACCGTCTGAATGCTCATTGTTTCTGTTTGATTTGTGCTGATTTTCTTTAACAGTTGCTGGGTTGCAGTCATGTGACCCAGATGATAAATGATAAATGATAAATCGACTGTCACAGATGAGATATTGCAAAAAACTCCACGTACATTTAGGATCTGATCGAAATAGTGTTAATAAAGAGACTCGTCATATAATCTGGAGGATTTACCAGTGTCGAGGTGATGGACATAAACTACAGAGCTCGCATTATACAACGAGCCAGATGAAAACTTTCAAAAGACTCAACAATTATTTAGTTTCAGGTTGGGTCAAACATTTAGGATCCAAAGAAGCTTTAAATGTCCACTTGTTTCTACCTGAGTGAGCAGGGACTTGTGCTATTTTACATAATTAGCCTATGATAACAATGCCATCGCTAACGCTAACAACCAGTTAAGCCCTGTTATTTCTGTGTTTGGATCTTGTAAATAATTTATTTAGCTTCTGTAAACATACTGTAAATTCCAGTAACTGTCCAGTAAAACATCAGAAAATAGGATTTAAACGATTTTCAGCCATAGATTGCTGATCTACTTTTGACTTTTTTTTCTGACACACGACTTTCTGAACACGAAACAAACTTTTATATTTCTCCTGATTGAAGCAACAACCATATGGCACAGAATTTAGGCATTCTGACGCTGAATCAACAGAAAGAAACCACCTGCTTCGGATATTATCATCCATGAAATGGACATTATTAGGCGTTATCAGTCCCATAGAATGGCTTCTGACTGTCAGCTGGTTAGTATGAGGCATAAAAAATAGTTAATACGAGGCTTAAAGCCACCAAAGTTAACTTTAGAGCAAATAACATGGTTAGAACCAACCTCCGATGGATGTATATTATGGCCTTCCAATAAGGCAATGGGTAGTGTGTCGTACCAGAGAGTGGGAGACCAGATTTCGAGTCCGACACGGATGCAAAAAATTTGTTACAATATGTCTTGGTTATTTACACTTTCATTGTCATTGATATATTAACCCACTAGGGGGCACTGTCAGGACAGTCTGAAGCCTAGAAGGCACAGTAGGGACCCTCTGAAGCCATTGTATGGGACTGATAACGCATAATAACGTCCATTTCATGGACTGATAACATCGGAATCCCCTGAAGAAACAGGGCTCTGTTTACTTCCTGCCCTCTGTCTGCATTTCGTGATGTTGACATCATCAGCAACCCAGCAATCACCTGTTTTTATTTATTTATTTATTTTCATTTTGGTTTATTTCAAATTTGCTTTTTTAAAATTAAATCACATTAGATAAGAGTGGAGAACTGATCCTGCCACAAACCACTGACTTTATGAATGAAAACATGAGATAAAATCAGCAGCGTGACTGGCATTCTGGTGAATTCTCCGAGCCTGTAGCTTGTAGCATAGTTAGCATGGTTAGCACGCTAAAGATAGCTACCTCTCATCACATGATCTGTCTGCTATATGAGAAGAAGTAATGAGGCTGCTGGTGGAGTGGGTGCTTTAAATATCAGCGGTACAAAGGTCAGAAGATTTTAAAGGCAGTTTTTATTCTGCTTTACTGAACATGATGCATTTTTTTGCTTAACGTCTAAATATTTGTTTCGTAGTGCGATGTGACAGCCTAATTCCCCTGAAAGAACCTTTCTTGTGGTTTTTCCACTCTTCTCAGTCCCTCACAGTAATGATGACATCATCATCCCGTCCTTTCCACAGCATTTCCCCCTCAAAGTCCACCATCTTGTGCTTGCGGCAGCGCAGCAAAATTCCCACCACTTTGTCCGAAATTTTGACGTATCGATCAAAGAGCCGGCCGAAGGTGATGCAGACCCGTCCCTCTCGGTCCTTCACGCCCATGTCTCGGATGATCCAGACCATCTCCTCCATCTCCCTGTGGATGTGCTTCTGGGCCCGGTCCCCCCTCTCGGCGGTCTTGGAGCCGTCTTTGGGCCGACCGTAGCCGGAGTCGCCTTTGCGCAGACGCTGGGACATGGCGTAGTCGAAGTCGAACTCCTCGCTGAAGGGGTTGAGCTTCTGGCCTTCGACGTGCTGCTCGGACCACTGCTGCCAGCGGGACTTGATGTCGCTCATGGTGGCGATTTTAATCTGCACAGAAACAACAAGATTAATGGTAAATTGTGTCCATTCAGATTAAGCAAACATAGATTTGTTTCACAACACAGGAAGGTTAATTATGAGCCCTGCACACGAAGTGGGGATTATATTATTTTCATACTTTATTTTAATTTTTTATTATTATTTTATTTTTCAGTGATTTTTGGTCAACCATAGCATGAAAACAGCTGCACTGATCAACATGAAATTTGGCAGGAATGTTGTTGTGTCTGACCTACATTTGGCCAGCTAACCATTTTATGATACACCCCATATTTGAGGAGGGGGCTCCATCTAAAATGGGGGTGTCAGAACATCCAAAATGCTTATAATTTAAAAACTACTCGACATGGGAGCTTCAGATTTTTTTATTGTTTATCTCTGAAAAAGGGCTATCCATCGGGCCCACCAACGAGCCCCCCACCCC